ATAATTTAATATTTTGGAAAATAAAACTAAATAAATCTGGTTAGTGAAGTAAAAGATAATGCTATAATTAGCATAGCTAATTGTATATGCATTATCTCTTCAGCAATCTTCCACAGCACTATTCTCATTTTACAGATGACCCAGCCGTACATTTACTTTCTCTCCCAAGGTGGAAGATGGTCAGGAAAGCAACAGCAAGGGTGGTAACATTCATGTTCTTATTAAGGGTCTGAGTATTACAAGGGCTGAGGAGTACAGTTCTCAAATATATGGCTTCACTGGATTCTTTTTGCAAAATATGGACCAATATTTATAGGAAATACTTTTCTAAGGAGTAGTGAATATAGTAAAACTATTAGCAGGAGTTGTGAAGGAAGAGTTAACCCATTTAATTAACCCAGAACTTCCATATACACCCACGATTATTAATTTTGAAGAATTTATTTTGAAAGAAAAATATAACAAGTTTAATCATAGCCCATTAAAACTAGAAGAGACCTTAGGTGGCACCTTAGTGAATGCTTGGCTAAAACTACATGGTAAAATACAAGGGAGGTGAGATTAGAAACTAAGAGCTCTTAGTTCCAGCTAGGTGTGGTGGCCCATGCCTGTTATCCGAGCACTTGAGTATACTTTTGGGGCCACTAAGCTGGGGCAAGGTATAATAATTGGGAAGTATGAGTAACATGGGAGTTCTAGGGCCCTAGAGACATGGAAAGGAAGGTAAAGAAAACTACCCATTTTATCTAGGACCAGACAAGGACCTGGAAACAAATGGTATGATACCAAAGGGAAGGGTGTATTTCTTTTTTTTTTGTACCGGGGATCGAACTCGGGACCTTGCACTTGCAAGGCAGGTGGCAGCACCACTGAGCTAAATCCCCAGCCCTGTGAAGGGTATACTTTTAATGGTCAAAAAAATTCACAAAATACAATTACAACTTCAGTTCAACTGCTGTTGACCGGTGTAGGAAACAACACAGTGCCATTTCAATGGAGGGCTGAGGATTATTTATATGACAGGCAATACTCCTTTCAATCTTGCAGAAAGTGAGTGAGTGAACCTGTCTTAAGAGTGAAGATTTCTTCTATTGTAATACTTTGTGTTATGAATGCTTACAGGATTTTTTTTTTTCTGGCAACACTGGGGACTGAATCCAGGGATATTCTACCATCAAGCTATAGTCCAGCCCTTTTTTATTTTTTTCAGACAGGGTCTCACTAAGTTGCCCA